ATTTTTATTGAGAGCAAGTCATTTTCGAAAAATCCAAAACAAAGAATTTCGTGCTGTAATTATACCTATAGGTGCGTTTGATAGTTATTAGATTGTCTTGAAAGTTTGAACGAAGATGAACCTGTCTTTCTCGGGATAGTCAATTTCCAAAATAGATTCGATTATTATGTTATACTCTGGTTAAACCGCTGTGTTCTTAAATATTGAATATCTCGAGCAAGACATCCTCGTTTTCGTTGAAACTCTCAGCACTATCTAATAATTATAAAACATACCTATAGGCATAATTTCAGCTCGAAACTGCTTCGTCCTTGGTGACAGTTTCATAACACTGGCCAGAATTCTTAAACAGTAGACCATTGACCTGAACTCTTTTAAGCTTTTCTTAGTTTCATCAATATTGATTCATAGCCATTGTGTGAAGTCGAACGGCGTCCGACACTTGAATATGCTTCCTTGTTAGTGCTTTTTTTTCACCAGACAAATATTATAAATAGTTGTCGAAGAACAGACGATGACATCTTGAGGTTGTACGTTAATTAAAAACTGTGGTACAGTGTGACCTGAAACTTTCACCAAATATAGATCTTATAGTTATTAATCATTTTTATGGATTTTATCCAGATTAAGTGAAGTCTCACTGTGTTTTACTCTTCTCACCGATTTGAAAATTTTAACTAAATGATTGAATGTACAATTTTTGTCTTTTCATGTCTTGAAAATTTGTTAATACTTAAAGTATCAGAGACATTAACACTCAACGTGACAAATAGAAGGAAATGCTCATTTCTGGCAATCATAAAAGAAAAGATAAAGTAGATTTGTCATAGTTAGCAATGAATTGTGGCTAAAAACATCTCGCGTTCAAGACAGTATTTTATCACATACTGAGGAATGGGGTATTATAAAAAATATTTTCCATTTCCTGCCGTTTGATGACAAGAAAAAAAAAGAACCCATACATGTCTAGGATTAAACATCGTTAAGTAATATCCTAATAGAACAAAGAGTTGGTCAAAGAGTACTTTTTTCCAATTAGTGCACAGGACAAACATCTTCTTTGGTCTGCTTTGATTGTTAACTAGCTTTGCGATACGTGAAATTCAATCTCAATAGAACCACAGTTTTTACTATTCCTACACAATAGAACGAGATTGTTCTTGTTTAAAAAATATGAATATCTTTTAAATTAGTACTATGAAGCAGAAGATAAAATATGACTTGGAAGCATGTCTTATGATTTGTCTTTGAGTCATTCCACTGTTCATTCGAACACTTGCTAAATTAATTCTAATTTAATCATCGAGAAATTCATTTCTATACTCAAATAATACATCATATGAAATATTGATTGGCAAAATATTTAAAAAAACAATTCAAATGATTGGATTTCACAAAAGATGATTCATTCTTTTTTGTTGCAAAATTTTAAAAAAACTTCGAGTTATGTTTTATTATTAATAATAACATTCTAAACAAAGATTATACAACTTGCAATCCGCAGAACACGAGTTTATGAACAAATCACAATCACAATAAACTGATATATTTTTTGTTGAAGAACCAATCGACTTGCAATAAAATCTGAGAAGATTTCATTAAAATGAACCTATTGAACTTTACATGGATCACAATCGTTACCATATAGAAGATATAAACCATGTTGTGGAAGATCTGAACATTTTGTACATGGCAGATTTAATCTTCCATTAATAATTTGATTCGATGTAAAAGAAATAGCATCTGGAAGAGTTGTTTCTATAAAAGAAATATTACAGAAATGAAATTTTTATTACATTTTACTTATGGTTATTGTTGCTATAGAAAAAACATAGTGATTATTCTTTTTTTTAGATGTGGATCAATTCTCTCTTTTATCGATTTATATTAATGTGCAAATAACAGTTGTAAGCTAAATGTACATGTGTTAGACAACTTGCTATGAATTGTACGATGAAAAGCGAAGAAGTTTCCATCTCACATATTTGTACTAATTAGCTTATTTACTAGTGCTTCTTGATGTGGTAATCGTAGGAGTTCGAACTACTACATGCTCAATATCAAGCAAAAACAAATAATAAGATTTGATATTTTTTTACTTTACTTACATTCTGATGTGCTTGTCACTGAAAAAAATATTCTATACGCATATATATATAAAGTTAATTCAAATCATTTATGAGTGCCTGTATTCATTTTTACTAATAAAACAGCCATGAAAACCACTAAGATACCCAAGAACATTGATATAAATATGAGAGAAAGACGAATAGCAATATTAACTGACATTCTTGCTTAGAATACATATGGTACTATAGGAAACAACTCAATACTCATACTATTGATTTTCTTTGTTATATGTTATTATTTCCATGGAATCAAAACGAGTGAAGATGACTAGATGCCTTACAAGAAAAATGACATCATTATCATATATCATATATTTGATATATCTGATAGTGTTCTGCAACGTGTTTTGTTTTTAAATAATTAAAGTTGAATTAATCACAATTTATTTTTCAAAAAAAGTCACTGAAAAAAAACATTTGATTATTGCTAAAGCTTTCTCATAAATAAGCCATCATTTTTCGCGGATATCAAGAAAATATGTTAATGCAGTTTTCGGTAAGAACTTCTACTTTGTTATATGTTTGTCGAGATAAATAGAATAGAACTCATGATAATGATTTCTTTATCTTTATAATTAAATATGAAATATATTATTGTAGATCAGAGTTGGAACCGGACCGGGCAAGACCGGACAAAAAGTTAAAACTGGCCGGACAGGACCGGATTTTTGCCAGTTCATCATTAAAAAATTGTTGTTTGTGTCCAAGAATTTCCTCTACTGAAAATGATGTTTTTATGACATTTTCACGTCAGAAGAATGTGTCTGAGAAAGACTCGATGAACTTTGTGTCATCCATCTAACTGTAAACAGTTCATTGTTCTCTTTATATCTTTATCGATTACTTTTTCGTGTACCGCTTAATGTAACCTAGATCATATAATTTGATTTTTGTTATTCTACTTAGACAGCTGCCTGAATCATGAAAAATAAATATTTACACTGTTCTGCTAGATTTATTGTAAACTGGCTCTTTTCCTTGAAATTAAGATTAAAAAAAAACAGATTTGATCTGAGTAGCTGACTGATTAGATATCGGGCTCGAAAAGTCCACGCACCTTGCATTAAAATATGATGGTCATAGTTTTGTTCCCAAGTTTTAGTTTCCAGTTCCGATTAGGGATGGCGATCGCCTGTTAACTTACTATAAATTTAAATTTTTTAGAAGTTAAATTTCAGATACAGAAAAATTTTTTAGAGATGAAAATTTAAATTTATTTTAAATGTAAATTACGTAACTTGAAGTTTATTTTAAATGTATTTAAGCCTTTTAAATTTACTCAAATCTAGTTTACATCAATCTAAATTCAATGTACACCCATTTAATTGGATTTAAATCCAACGGAATGAATTTAAATTGAATTTTATTTGGTTTAAATTGAAATTATATTTGTTTAAACTAGATTTAAATAAATTTGAAAAATTTAAATGTATATAAATCTAATTTAAATTGAAAATCAATTTAATTTTTTTGAATTTATTTTTCGATTTATTTAANAAGCTTGTTCTTGGAATTGTTAATATATTTTTTCTTTTCCGTTCTTTACCTGTAAGAGAAAAAAATCTTGAACGTCGACAAAAAAATATCACATTTTTCAAAAATACAACAATCTTTCAACTTATCAATATAAATAAGAAAGTGTAAGCTAATTTTTGCCAAGGTAAGAATTGAACACATTACGTCTTTGACCAGTTTTAGCATATGGTTGTTTTCAAATAGTTTTTGAAAAATATTGCAACAATATCAATTTCTTTTTTTTTTTATTTTTGACTCGTAAATGAGAATAGCAGTAGAAAAAAGAATTCAAAAACACATTTATTAAATTTTCATATAATTAAAGATTTGTCATAAATCATGATTCGAAAATAATAATAAAAAATGATAACATTCATAGCTCTTCATTAGTGTGTAATATAGAATGGCTTATAATTTGTTTTTTTTTATTACAAACTTAGGAAAGACAGTTCACGAGAATAGAAAAAACTCTTATTTAATGAATCTATTACCTTTTTTTTTTCTATTGAACGAATTTTCAAAACTAATAGTTAATGCATTAGCTCAATGTTTCAAAATAGATCAACAATACTGTTACCAAGACATATTCGTACAGGTAGTATTGTTTGTCAAAATTAAAGACACAAGCATTATCGTAGTATCAGTCATATTAAATGATTTATATAATTCAGAAATATCTGCTCAACGAGAAAAAGTTCGGAATATTTTAATAATGAATAGTGAAATTCAATAATGAACAGTCATAGCACTTGTTATAATCTCTATAAAATGACTTCTAATAGCCATTATATAGTCAGTAATACGAATGTTCAAAAATAAATAAATTTTACTAATTGATCAGTCCAAGTATCACTTCTTCTCATATTCCATCCAGAACGTAGACAAAGTTTTGAAACCAAAAGTGGCTTGAATATTTATGGCTAAAAGTTTTACATTTATTTTGCTAGCTTTTCTTTATTTTCTTTTTCACATAAGCTCATTCTCAGTTACAAAATCAGTATCAAATTTACGAAGTAATCAAGAATGACGGTAGCGTTATTTTTGTACTTCTTTATCTTCCTTTTGCAGTAAGACATAAATTGTTGTATAACTCATCTCAAGACTATAGTTTTACATGATTAAAACTGAACCGTTTATAAAGAAAAAGATGTGTTAGTTCTTGAGCACCATATCTGCAATAAGTAATGGTAAGCTTTTTATTTTGAAAATTACTAAACGTAACTTTCAGTTTCATAAAAATTTTCAATACTGTAACATATTATTCATTATGAAAAACTTTTTCTATCGAACAGCTTTAGTGAACAACGGATACTGACGACGTGGGAAGTCAAGAACGCATTATTAAACTTGCAAATAATGTCACTGCTTATGACTAAGCGTAGAGCAATTAATCCGGATGGGAGCATCGGTTTATTCTACGACATAAACCGTGATGGTATGCTACAAGGATTAAACAAGATCGATGAAAAGAAAGCATCACAACTTCTTGGATCAATGGAATGTGAAATTATAGATGGTAACATAGATAAGTCTCGAAACCTTCTCAAGTGGATCAACATTGATGAAGATTTACGATTAAATATCCTACTGAAAGCAGCACCACGAACCGGAGTAGCTGCACTCATTGATCATCATTCAATTGATAGATACACTCGTTTTATGCGTATTTTTTATCCTGATCGAGAACAACGACTTCCTGACGATCCTGTACATACAAAAAAACGTTTTAAATCAATAATGCATGACGCCAGTGCTACTCACATTATTACTGCTGTAAGCTTTGGTATTGATATTGTTATCGTTTTACAACTACCATCTAAAGAAAATATTGCCGGAAAAATCGATGCTGCCCTTGGGAAAATTGAAACCCGATTGAAGGATTCTAATGAACATCTTTGCTTTACTGAAGATGATGCAGGTGTTCTTGAAAAAATTATCGAAACCAAAGTGTATTCAAATGTAACTGAATTAACGAAAATGACTTCACTTCTCGAAGTTCTTCAGTTTATAGATGGATCCAAAAAAAACGTGACACATACCGACCAGTAGAATACACTCTACGACCTATTGAATGGTTATTTGCTGATGCCGATAAATCATGTCCATTATACACTCCATTACACAACAGTGAAAGCGACAAGTTAGAACAACATTTAATAGAAATTTTAAACTATTACAAGAAAGTGAAATATTTGCTTGATAGTTATACTACTAGTAATAGGGTGCTGCCGAGCAATGCCAAAGAATTACTGGTACAAGTAGAAAAGGAATGGCAAAACTTACAGCAAATGTATGAAAATGAAATTCAACAATTAGCAAAGCTAGTTTTGGATATTCACAGCGGACAGAAGAAAGGTTCTGAGATTGATGAAGCACTTAAACCCAAGGATCAAATAGCATTCCAAGAGAATATTCGAGAACTCTGGAAGAAAATACAAGTTATAGAAAAAGAAATCCAATTGACCAATGGTGCGCAACAAGAACAGCCCCAATATAGTGAACTTTTAGAATCTCAAACGAATCCGAATGATCATGGACAGACGTTGACACATAAACCAACTATGGAGAACCAACCAAACAAAACAATTGGTTCTAATGATAATTCGTCCAACAAAAATCGATCAATAATATTGACCGAACAAGACAACCAAAGAAATAGAAACAGTCAATGTTCATCCTCACTGTCTACAAACACACAAGCTTCTAATACATCTAGAGCATCATTATCTGTATCGTCAACAAATGAGATTATTAACATTCTTCTTGTTGGTGAAAGCGGTGTAGGCAAATCGACATTTATTAATGCATTTGTCAATTATCTTACATTCAAAACGCTCAATGAAGCTGAACAGGGTAAACCTATTGTACTCATACCAGTTTCATTTCTCATGGCAGTTGGTAAAAATTTCGAAGAGCACGCAGTAAAATTTGGTAATTCGGATAGTTTTAATAATGAAGATTTTGATCATCCAGGTCAATCTGTAACACAACACTGTAAATCCTATGTATTTCATCTTAATGATATTAATAAAAAGAAAATACGCATTATTGATACGCCAGGTTTTGGTGATACGCGTGGTCCTCATCAAGATGATGCCAATATGCAACATATTTTAGAATACATAAATGAATTGACACATTTGAATGCTGTATGTTTCCTTCTTAAGCCAAATACATCACAAATTAATAGTTTTTTCGTAACATGTCTCACTCAACTGCTGGATCTTCTCGGTTCAAATGCAAGTCAAAACATTGTCTTTTGTTTTACTAATGCACGATCAACGTTTTACACTCCAGGCGATACAGCTCCACTACTCAGATCCATGCTTCAATCATTTTCGCTCAATGACATTTTATTTAAAAAACAGAATACGTTCTGCTTTGATAATGAATCATTTCGATATTTGGTTGCTCGACAAAATGGTATTCAGTTCGATGATGTGGAACACAAGGAATATGAAAATAGTTGGTCGAATTCCGTTACAGAATCAAACCGTCTTCTTGCTTATGTTTATAAAGAATTGAGTGCTCATGTGTTAAAAGGTGAAGCGCAATCAATCAAACAAACTGAATTCAAAATTAGTCATATGGTCCGGCCAATGTTAGAAGCAATGCGAAATATTCTTCGAAATTCAATTATATGGAACATGGACACCCCGAGAAAATTGATCGAACTGAATCCGATTGTTCTTTATCGTTCAGCTGCCGTTTGTTATACATGCCAACGTGACGTTGTCCAATTAGGTAAATTCTGGGCTGTAAGGGATTTTCCGAGTAGTGTCACATATCCAAGATTTTGGAGATGCCACCGCATCTCCAGCGGGAGACGCGGCACCCACACTCGGGAGATGAGGTCATTCACCACTGGAGATGTAAGATCTCCTTTAGAGAGACGCATCCCCCACACCCACACTCGCATCTCTCGCGCGAGATGCGGCATCTCCCGCAGGAGATGTGGTGGCATCTCCAAAATTTTGGATATGTGACACTGCTGAAACTCGATTACACATACGCGGACAGATGTTCAAATTATAGTCGAGATGAAATGAAGACAAACTTAGATCTATTGCTTCATGCAGGTGTTGAATTTGCTTATTTTCTTATGAATGTTGCTCCTTCGTCGAAAGATGATCCATTTTTAATTGGTATAGTACACATGATTAGTGAGGAAAATGATCTATGTGTACTTCAAATGCCACCTGAAATGAATTCAGAATTAGTAGGAAAACTCACAGAACTCATGGTTAGATATCAACAAAGTATAGAGAAGATGAAGCCAAATCAAGAGAATAGCAAACTAAGCGACATCTATGCATGGATTCTGACAATTCACAAAAATCCTATAGTTCAAGTGCAAATGGCTGCTGTTGAAAAAAGTCGAAAGATCATAATGAAACAATACGAATATGAATTTTCCAATGATGCGACAAACGCAAAAATTACTTGAACTAATAAATACAAAACTTATTCATGAATGATTTTATCATAAAATGTCCAAAATCATTTTGTTTTTGTATTAGTTTTAAAATTTCTTAAAATGAAATACTATAGATGATAAATGTTATTTACATTCGATATCTAACAACGAAGGCTATACGCCCAAAAATAATGACATCTTAAACATTATGATTGTCATAACTCGAGAAGAAAGTAATAAGCATACGAGCAATTGTTGTTGTATCTAATGGCAAAAGTCTGATCTCAAAACATTTTTATCAGTCAGAAAGGTACTCTCATTTGAAGAGACTGATTAGAAATATTTATCTTATAATAAGTTGACAACAGAAAAGTTGGCTTTTTCCTTAAATAATAGAAACATTGACAATGTTGAAATTTTCCATAGTATATTTTGCCGTTAATAATAAATTGCTATACTTCGTCGAACGACAAGAATTGTTTTCTGTATGAGACAAAGAATCTTTTTTAACCATTCTGCTAAAAGCCTTTTAATAGCCTTACTGGTTTATGCTTTTATTTGTTTTTGTTCTTTCTTTAAAAAGAAAATGAAGAAAAGAAAGTTTGCATGTGAAGTAAATTTCGTCATATCAACAGAATAGACTTGTTCTCAAGATTACAAGACAAAGAAAAAAACGAAAATCATTTTTTAGAAGGTAGGAAATAAGAAAACTAATAGATTTCGTAGTTAAAAACATGCATTTTTCAAACGTTTCCAAAACATATTGAAAAAAATTATCAGTTCTTTCTGTAATATTTTTCGAATAATAATAATTATTAATTTTCGATGGTAACATCTAAATTTTTTCACCATTAACAAAAATATAGAGTTTTCGAAACAAATAATAGTATTCGACAGGTGGGTTTTGTATCTTGATGAACTTTCAATTATAAACAATAAGAGAATATCTCCATCTATCGAATGACACTTGACGGTAAAGTTGGGCAATGAATTTCAGACTAAACTAGTAACTTTAGTTGTAATCAAAGTTATATTCTGATAAAAGTGAAAAGCTTCGAACTTTGAAAAATAATATCTGATAATGTAAAATTTACTTTTTATATATAGTTTTGTTTGATAAGAAAATTCTGTTAATTGATAAGACTCTTCAAGTTTGAATATATGTGAAGAACTATTTCAAAACGATTAAATGATAAATAGCTATTTTATCTTAGGATTTTCAAAGTGTTATAAATATAAAAACTGAACTGACGATTTATTAATAATCAGGTGAAGCATCTGTGAAATAGATGAAAGAATCGTATAAAACTACAAAAAATGAGATTTTAATAAAATTTTTAAAAACGTTTAGCTTTGTTCTTTCAATACATTTTGCCATAGAGAACGTAATACAAATAAATATTTCCGAACATATATTTACATAAAATTCAGAAATGAAATTTAAACCAAATTTTTCCCATTAGGAAGAGATTTCGTCTTTTTGAAAGAGGATTTTTGACACTGTGAAATAACATTACTTGTCATGCACAATATCATTTAAGACAAAAATAACAAGTAACGCTCATCACTGTGCGATTCGCTTAACCCTCGACTGAAGGATTTAGAGAAAGGATATACTATTCTTCCTTACCCGGGACAACTTTGAGAATATCAAAGTACCGAATAGTCTCTGCCACAATGATGTTATAAATGACTATCAAAATATGCTCATCTTCAAATGATAGTAATATCTGCATATAAATTGCTATTTCGTGCTAACGTTTTGATTAAATGAAGGCTTACAAAGATATGTATCGTAAAAGTCTGATTTGCATATTACGACAGTCACAACAATATCTTGAAATGCTCTGAGATTTTTAATATGAAAACAATGTGCCTTTCAACAAAAACTTATTGAGAATATGAAACAGCGACCGCTCATACCGTAGCATTAGTTGATAAAACCATTTACTGGCACAAGTATTATTCTAAGTAGCAATAGTAATGAACTGAAAGAAGTTGCTTTCAATTGTCAGAATCGGATATGTTTCTCCTAGACTTGTTCGGATGTCTCTCAGTCAGAACACATTTATANCTCGACACGAGGGTGCTTTCATTGTTCTCAATTTATTTTGATAATGAATAGGTCGAAACTAAAACCTAATTATACAGAGTGATAGAAAACTCCACGGGCTTTCAGAATATGTAATTACTTTTAAAAAAGTGTGGTCTTATAGTGGAAATATATTCGAAATACCGAGTCTAACTATTTTTGTCCAGGGGGATATATAGAGTTTTGTCTTTGTTCTGCCTTGCTTTAACTGATGATGATAGGTATCACCTATCAAAAACTTGAATAAATTAAATTTTTAATAAAAATCTAGCAATGCTTTTCGTAGCAGTTTTATACTCATTGATCTCTTATAAATATAAAAGATCAGTTCTATATTCTCATCTTGTTCAATTTTTTTTGAATATTTTGATCCTTTAAAAACTCTATTTAATTTTGCCCAAGTTTCAACTTTGTCTAACACATATGTTTTTCAAATAAATGATTTTATCTTATTATACTCGGAAAGATTGATTTATTATCTTAGACTATTATTGAGTTCAGTTTTTGTCACAGTGTATCCTTAAGAAAATCATTTTCTCTTCTTTGTTCATTTTAACTTTGTCATTAGAAAAAAACAAGCAACAAGTAAATCGACGTCTCCTAAGATGTCGTATTTTGAAGAGAAACAAGTACTCAACAAAATAGCATATTAAGTAGAAATAATCGACAATAAATTTTGATTGTTGTAGATGAAGTTGGAAACTTGCCAAACTAAGTGCTTTTTATTTTTTATTCTAAGAAAATTCTGAGATTATCAGTTATAACGTTCCAAAATATTCGTAGGAGAATCGAAGTTGACTATCTTTCCTCTATCCAATACAAGAACACGATCAAGTTTCACTACTGTATTCAGTCGATGAGCAATTGTCAAAACAGTTCGATCTTGAAATTTGTTTCTAATTATTGCATGAACCAGATCATCTGTTTCCTGGTCAACATGAGCTGTTGCTTCATCGATCAATAATATTTTACTTTTCTTTAGAATGGCTCGTGCAATGCATAGCAATTGACATTGACCAATACTCAAGGATTTATCCCATTCAGCAATATACATTAGAAGACCTGCTGGCTGATTGCTCACAAATTGTTTCAACTGGACATCTTCAAGTGCCATCCAACATTGTTCATCAGAATAATGATTGAATGGATCAAGATTGTACCGAATAGTTCCACTAAATAATATAGGTTGTTGAGGAATAACACTGATATGAGATCGAAGATGGTTAAGTGTGACACGACTAATGTCAATACCATCAATGAGGATTTCACCATCAACACATGATCGATTAACAAAGCGAAAGATACCCTTGAAGAGTGATGATTTTCCAGCACCTATACAGATGAAAGATTTCAAAAACAAAATCTATCATCTCGTAAGTAAAATACATACCGGTTCGACCAATGATGCCAATCTTTTGATGAGACTCTATGTGTAAGTCAATATTTCTAATTACATATTCTAGGTTAAATCGATGACGTAATGAATAATTTCTAAATTCGACTTTTCCATGAGTTGGCCATTTTGATGAAGTTTTTACAAGACCTTTATGACCACCTTTATCTTCTTCATGTGGCAACCGTGAATACTCATCGATACGTTCGCCACTTACCATCATTAAATGAGCTTCAAGTAATTTTCGAATCGTCCATTGAATCCATGACGTTACATGCATTGCATATACTAAACTGAGTGTAGCTGTCGACAATTTTTTATGATTAGGAAGTTGCACTATTCCAATAGAAGTGACTAATAATATTATCAAACAAGTAAAACCAAATAATGTTGAAAACAATTCCGATGAAGCTTGTACGGCGAGATATGCAGATGTATGTGTATCAATTTTATCAGCCATTAATTGAATAAAACTGTTCTCAGCATTGAATGAATGAATTGTTGATAACCCATGTAAAGATGATGAAAAGAGTGCATAAACAGGACTACGAGTGATACTTTCAAGCCGTTTAAATCTAACTGAACATCTTTGAAAACAATATATTATTAACCAACCAACTGGTATTAATATGATAAGTACAAGAAAAAGAGATATATTAGTTAAACAAATAATGAACAGTGAACCAACAGTTAGTAACAGTCCCTCGATACCTTCTAGTACAGCTATTGGTAGTAACTCGTCGATGACATACTGATCTTTACTTGCCCGATTTATAATTCTGCCACTTGGATTACTTTCGAAAAATTGTATTGATGCATATAAAAGTCCTCTTAGCATTTTATTGTGCAAACTCTTTGCACCATATAAAACAACACTAAAATAATAATTCTTACGAATTATATCAACAATTGCCATAGCTATTGTGAGACCAAAATAAATATAGACAAATTTCGGTGAAATTCGTTGATCTGCGTCACTTGGGCGCAAATGTACGCTCAGGCAATAGTTTGTACCATCATATAATAATTCGCCCAACAAAAGTAAAACAATAAGTAAACAGAAGCCAATTCTACCGAATGGTGGTGCAGTAAACAAATGATACCATATAGACCATTTGTTACCCTCATTTAGTGGTGTTTCATCATTTATGATCGGTTGAGGATCGTCAATCGATATATTGTCATCAAGCATATTGGCTAATATTGATGTTTTTTTCTTATTTGTATATTTTTCTCTAATCATCTTTTCATTCAAACAACCTTGTTTATCAATATGACCATGAGAAAGAAATATTATCTGATGTGATTCACTAAGAAACTGAGTTTGATGAGTAACTAATAGACGAGTTTTACTTTTTAACAATCCAGATGGGCCAATGCATCGTTCATAGATTTGTTCAGCTACTGTATAATCAACAGCAGCAAATGGATCATCAATTAGATAAATATCCATATCAGCATACAAAGCACGAGCTAATGATACTCTCGCTTTTTGTCCACCACTTAAATTAATTCCATTTTCTCCAATCATTATAAGATCGCCGCTAGATCCAAATGTATTAATATCAACATCGAGACAACAAGCATGTATTATATTTCTATATCGTTGTTGATCAAACGGTCGATTTAAAAGAATATTGTTACGCAATGTATCTTCAAATATCCATGGTGATTCAGCAACATAAGCAAATGAACTACGATTTGTATTTAATTGGCCGTTGATAAGATTCATTTCACCAAGGACAGCAGCGAGTAAAGATGATTTACCAGAGCCTACTGGTCCAACAATTGCAACAAATGTGCCTTGTTCGATAATCAGATCAGACAATGATAGACAAGGCATCTCATTAAACCATGAAAAAGAGGCGCTTGAAATCATGATATTTCCTTTTTGTTTCTCATTGATCGAAGAATTGGATAATTGAAACTGATTTTCTTGTTTCATGTTGAGACGCATAAATGAGTCTATTCTTCTTGATGCATATTTAGCTGCACTTAGCTTCTCAATTCCCAGCGGAATATAATACAGAGGTTTTACGCGTATTACAGAAAATAATGAAAGAGTTGGAAGAACATTTTCTGTATTTAATGGATAACCTAAAAGCCAAGCACTGCCGAACATTGTGAGTGTAAAAAATGATACTGCAGTAAAATATAGAGTCATATTGATTGCACGAAAACGATATGTACGTCGAATACTTGCTAATTCATGTTTCCGCAGTTCAACTATACGATCTTCCAATGCTTTTTCCCAGTTATACATTTTAACAATATGACATCCATGAATGAATTCAGTAAAAGCTTGTATACGTTTGTCAACACACATAGCTGTTATTTCATAATACTGACCAAATTTTTGACTCAAATAGAACTGGAGAAGAACGAATAAAGGAAATAATGCATAACTACATACTGTTGGTATAGGGTGCATGATCCAACAGAGTAAGCCAAATATGACGATTAATTCGATAAGTCCTTCAACTAGAAGCCCCAAATATGAACAGACTTCTTGGAACTTGGGCGCATCATTAATGATTAAGTTCATAATTTGACCTGTTTTCATTTCTTGCAATGATGCCAATTTTAAAGACAATGCATGTTTATAAATGATCATTGTAAGTGCATTAAAAATTCTCAGACCAATACGAGCGAAACGGAAAAATGTGTGTTGTTGTATGAGTGTTTGTATAGTTACCGAAAGAAACAGTAATATGGCGTACAAATAGTGGATACTATTCGATCCTTGTTCATTCATCATATTCAAGATGATTTGACGAAAAAGTAATGGTGGAGCAATAGACGTTATCAAAAATGGAATCAAAAATAGACTGGCAACAATATAATCTTTCCAAAACTCTTTACAAACAATACTCCATGTGTTTGATGACCAGTCATAAGAAGATAACCTATCTAATAATACTGAAGCTTTGTCAATATGAGGTAGATTATCAAGATCATCTACTGTCAATTGTCGTCTATATGCTGTATAAAGAATCGGATTCATCCACCACCAACTTAATAATTGTAAAATTCGAGTCCAAGACGATTCTATCCATTCAAGGCGAGATGATCGATGTCGACGATTGTTATCATTAGAATATGACGCTTTTTTATCATTAAGCAACGTTTGACTTTCATTGTCTTCCGAATTCTTAGCTATCTTCATCGTCAAATAAATATTGTGATTGACTATGAGGTATTTTTTGCGACTATTCATGCAAAACGAGTAACGTTTTTATCATAGCTGTATGTATGCCCTGTTGAGTTTTGGCGAGTTGAGTCACAATTGTTGAAAAACGAGTTAATATGGTAATAATTTGATTATGCAAAAAGAATTGATTCAGCAGTAAGGTAATAATAATTTGTCGAAGCTAGAGCTAAAGATCAAATTGAATCTAATTCACTGATTATTCTAAATTTTTATTTGTAGTATTATTGACGATCTGGTATAATATTATCACGACTTATCAGCGATTTTGTTTATTGTGTATTCATTTCTTTTTCTTTCTTTTTATCAGCTTTTATTTAAAATAATACAATCATTTTGACCAAATCTTATTGTGAAAGTAATAACAAACAGAAGAAAAAGATCACAAAAAGTTACATATCGTTTTCAACACATTTTACATATTCAATTGAAGAGAGAATGAAAAAAATATTATAAATAACACGCATAAAAACAGATGACAAATAATGACGTTGACAACTTATAAATAATCATTAAGATGTAAATAGATGATATATAAATTACATGCAAATCAAACTAATATAATTAGGAATACAAGATTCAAATGGAAGAAGTAAATAGAATCAAATTTGTATGGTTAAATGAAAGAAGAATATTGAAAATCATTTGCCACGTAGCACATGTTGATAAGGCGTTTTTCTGTTCTCTCACCAATATATAATCACAATGTATATGCTTATTTTTTCTCGTTATTCTATATTGTTATGTTGTTTTATTTGTCCTGAAAACGTGATCAGTTGAACAAATTGTATTTCAGAAGGGCTTTTCGATGACAAACCCGATGCTTAAACCTTTGAGAACCGACTTTTTAAAAAAAAAAAAGTGGAATTTTGACTTACCATATTAATTATAGTTCAAATTATTTGTCATAAGTTTTCATTCAGACTCAATGTAAAAGATAGACATTGCTTCATTTCTTGTTCCTATACGCTACCAATAAGATGTATATCTAACTATTCTCTTTTGCCTTATGTATAATGAAAGGTCATCAAGAATAAAAAGTAAAAGAAAACTAATAGTAATGATAAATAAATAAACAAAACATATTCAGGTAATCGATCAATACATCAACAACAGGTTCGTTCAACAATGGAATCGACATACCTCCAAGAAGAGGCTGATATATTCGTGAAAGAAAAGTTGAACAGAATAATCAAAAGACCACTACATCAACCATTACCGTACTCCAATGGCCAGTGCTTGTAGAAGAAAAACGATCAGAAACAAATACAATACTCGAATTTGACATCAAATCGCTCATTGTTGAAGTTTAATCACTTAGTAAATTTGTTTATTAGCATTCGTTAGCCCTATGACCATGTGGTCCTAAAGGGACAATTGAGCTTCAGGACCATAGATACCAATCGTGAACTGAATTAAAACAGAAAAGAGGAAAAAAGAATAGAAAAAAATAAAAATAAAAATAAACAAAGACATAAAACAGAGAGAACAGAAGCGTGAAGCAACAAATACGGTATGAAGAAAGAAAAAGAACAATACAAATAATTGTGGATATAGCATGTTTTATAGATATGAATAATACGTATATATTTATGTATGTATTTTTTCTTTCTTTTCTCTCGTTCTTGCAGTGGCGTAGCCAGGAATTTTCTAAGGGAGGTACCCGACTCATTATGAAGAGTGCACACCAGCAGCAAAATAAATTTTTGTTTCTCGGAAATATTTTTCACCTGAACCCCCCTCCAGATGTTTCTTGGCCAAGGGGTGTGCCCGGACACCTTGTGTACACCCCCTGGCTACGCCCCTGCGTTCTTGTTTATTCTAAACTCGAGCCATAATCCTCAATCCATTTTGTGTTTTTCTTCTCTTCTTTGTTTTTGTCAACGTAACGTAGAATCGACTGTTTAGAAAATTTCTCGAAATAAAGAAAAGCATACAAATTCTTCTCATTTCATACTACTACGGAGTCTAAAATCTCATGTGTTGTCATCCATCTAAGCGCTTGCCCTAGTAGATCCAAATATGGCACGACTCTTTTTGACGTTTGTAGACAGAGAATACGTACTGCTCCCTATTGCTATTCTGACCTATGTGCATTAAATTCCAATTGTTCCACTAGCAGGTATCCATCTTAATATTTTGACAGTGCCTTTGCATACTTTTTCCAGTAGACATAGCAGAGATCATTCAATGATTTTTCATTATAAATGAACGAGAAGACGAAATCCTTCCAATATTGACAGCAGTACATTTGTTTTAGTAGCATGCAATATAAATGACTAAGTTCAATCCGCTGAGATTCAGTAAATAACGAGTATAGCCCAAATAAATAAGTGAAATGTGGTAGTACGAGAGTGGAACATAGAGTTCGTCGTATCTGTGTAGAGGATGAGCCACTTATTCTTAACGAGTGCACTAATGCAACTCGCTGAATGATTTTTAAACGAGTCCTACCAATAATATCTTCTTCACCTAGCTTCGTCGTTAGCCAATAGTTCAAGTACTTGAATGAGAAAATTCACTCAATTCAGTGATCTTTGTCATGAACATGAGACGTTGGGTTTGGATAGAGAACTGCTCGCGCCGAGAAGATACCTTGTGTCTTCAAGTAGTTAAATGGTTGTACCGCTAGAACTGAGTAAAATTCTAGTTGCTTCAAGAATGTATATAGTCCGCGTTCTAGATCTGCACATTGGTTTGTAAATATAATTCCAAATTATCCAACCAGAACAAGCGCAAGGTTATTTGCAAAGAAAAAGAACATTGCCTCTTGAATAAAATCGAGCATGTCCCTATGATAAGCAACGAATAACTTAGGTGTTAAACTGTGAACATTGGGGACGATCCCGATTGATTGTAATCCATCTTGATAGTGGCTTGAAGATTGCTCAGTCACGCTCGGGTCCAGTTTTTGTAGGCTTGTGGAATTCTCTTTCTCGTAAGCTTTCCCAGACATTCATCAAACCACCACTGATTAAGTGGTATCTTTTCCTAACAATAAGACAAACTACTCCTAAAGTTTATCGTTTCTTACAACTAAATAAATAGCTAAAAGAAAAGAAATTTGATGATTTCTCATTCCATATCTTGTTCCCTAGTGAACAAAAGAGGGATTCAATGTCTTGCCTTTTTTTCTAATCATGCACCCCATCTCGATTAGTCTTTGTTTCAAGAAGGGAATTAATATGAATAGTCTGAACTTCGACCCGTTAGGCGTACCAGTCCTAATGATGTGATTGACGAGCGTTATGGAATATGATAAGACTAATTCTTGAATCAAGAATGATCCATCCAGGGCTATGGATTTGCAAATCGAGAGTAAAGTACTTTCTTAACGTTCGAACTAGTCATAGTCGAGAACTTTTTAAGACCAAGACTAGACAGATCGAGGCGACATGATTCTCGTCGGAAAAAGATTTAATATTGAAAATGTAAGTATGTCAGGGACAATACATAGGACAAGTTGTAACCTTATGTAGTAGACAAGTCCAGAGTAATCTAAATTGAAATATGTAGGGAGAAAGGTTAGATTCGAACATGTATACAATATGTCACTTAACCATCGTTTAGACAGTTGAGCCATACGATCAAAAGATCAACTTCTACATGTTCATAATTATTCTAAGACGTTATTTAATACAGTTTTACTCAAAGTTTTTCAAGTCATCATTGTTATGATCGAAGTGTTCCCCTTCAATCATAAGACGGAATGAGAAACGAATAACAAACACTCCTTTCTAGTACAGTGGTAATACAGCTGCCCGGAAAGCAGAAGACGTGGGTTCGATTCCCTCGGGAGGAGTATTCTTTTGTTCCGTTCTGTTGTCATACCATCACGTTGCTGTTTCGGTGATAACAATGAGTAATAATATGAGAGTGAAATAAAGAGAATAGAAATAAAGACATAACAATCATATGAATAGAAAATACCCTGTTACAAAATACAAAAGTATATGGAATAATGATTAACAAAAAAAATTTGAAAAAATTTTATTATTTTTTCTGAAGAAATTTCTTCTGATTATTATCAACTAAAAATGGTTAGTGACATTGATAAAAAAGTCTTGCGTGCCAAAATAAAATTAAAATTATTTGAATTGAAAAGAGACTAGATTATTTTGATATTATAATTTAATATAAATTTAAATCATCAGAATTTATACATTCAATAAAATAAAATAAATATTATGATACAAATTGTTTAAACTATTTTTGAATTAAATTATTTCTAATTTACTTCGAACATTTAATAACTTTTAAAGTACAAAAAATGGTACTTTCTCGTTACGAGATAAACGTTGTGTTTGGTATTTCCTCTCACTTGTTTATCCTTCGATATATTTCTGTATTTTTTACGTATCAAAATACAAAATATGATGTAATATATGAAAATATGAATGCAAAGCATATGTTGTCTATCCTTCTCTTCATTATCGATTTTTGAAGACTATGTCATTGCTATCCTAGTCAGAAAAGAAATCAATAACACAATGACAATCTGCATATATATTAATAAAAATTTATTGATTATCATAAATTTTCGTCATGATAATTTAATAGATCTTACTGAACTAACAATTATGAAGTTCTTACTAGAAGATACACGACGAAGTGTTTGTTATTCTCCACTCTCATCCATGTACTAAATAAATTTGATTATCTATCGGTTGTTTTAAATAAACACAGAAATAAAAATAAAATTCTTGCTCGACATTCTGCTTCTTTTTTCTTTCATTATGAGTCAGTTTCAACGAAGTGGCAGGACAGTTCGATCCTAATAAAAAGGTTTGCTGAAAGTTTTAAACTAGTATGAACAAGGATTGATGGTACATTCTCATAAAGAAAACAGACTAATCATGGTATGCACAGAGAACGCGTCAGACTAGTCTTAACTACTATTGAAGACATTGTATACTAGTTAAGTTGTTGGTCTTCAGACAACTTTTAAGAATTGAATTTCATGTAATACATACACAAAATTGTGTCTCTTTTTAAATATTATTGAAAAAAAAACAATATCATCAGAGAAATAGTTCTATTTTCGTTTACATGATAGAAATTGTAAACTGTAAGATTTAATACAAGTATTCAAAAATTTCAAAATAGAATTGTTTTTTCAGAACGTTGTCTTCAATTTAAAATGTTATCTCATAGGTTGTATTATTGTGGTGATTCTCTACGTTGCCATGTGTCTATCTAAAATCATCGAACTTTCAACTTGTTTTACTCTCGAACTTCCTATTGATTAATATTTATTCTGAAAAAAACTCTTCTCATAATAAACTGTAAAATAGCTCTCAGCTTCGTATTAACATGCTAATAACCATCTCAGCTAGCGATTCAATGTCTCAATCTGAAGCGTTCACGATATTCTTCTCAACAACCGAGTTTTTGAGTCACTGTTCAATGGATTCGAAATAGACCCATGCATGTAACACTTTACACATGTATTTCTTACGAAAATAATTACTTCAAAAAAAAAAAACATCATAGGTGCTGGTCCATTTTAACCGGTATGCAACAGTACCATCAAAAGTAGTGCGTTTTGGTTGAAGTTGATTGAACAATGACAATTGACTAATACGATCGAAGTTCGACAATGAATAAAAATCGGAAAAATAGAGGAAAAGATATGAGAAACGAGAGAAATTGCATTCGAGCACAATACGTTGAACTTGTTCAAAATTGAAATTTGAGGAACCAAACAAAGTCAAACGACAACGAGCATGATTGTGGGGTGATAGATAGGCAAGTAACGCTGAATGAAAATCAAATATATTAGCATTAGTTTCATTAATGGAAATGTGGAATGACATAAGATTAGGAGGAACAAAAAAAACAGTAGTTGAATCGGATTTGTTGACATAATCATGGACCCATAAACTATTCACTTCGAAACAAATCATTTGAGGAAGATGACGAAACAAATGAACTAAATTTGAAGAGTTACAATCGTGAAGACTTAATGATCGAATCGATGATAACGAATATGATTGTTTATTGTTGATTTTAAGTGAGCATAGCTCACAGGAACGAAGATTTTTGAATTCACAGAGAATTCCAAAAGGGAAATCAATCGTTTCGACAAGAACAAGATACTCGAGATGAGGAAAATTGTGTTCTCGAATTATATCAAGTTGAATTGGAATAGGTCGACGAAGTGTCAAGATGCGAAGATTTGGATAATTGAGAATATTAATCTTATTCACTATGGATGAAGAAAAATATTTATGAGTTTGAAGAGAAACAACTTGTAAGACAAAATAACGAAGAGGTTCTTCATCAGTAGAACTTTTTCATGAATATCACCATTTCTGCCACCATGAACGAAAATGAACATTAGCTTTAATTCAATCTTGAGAGAAATAGATTTATCATTTACCGTTTTAGTTCAATGTAAAATTTTCGAATGGGCAAATTGTTTAGAATGATATTGAAGTGCAAATTAAGATCTCATCACCTAGAGAAGAGATCCGAAATGGATAAATAGGAGAGAATTTCCATTAAAAGCTCATCGGGTAACAGTTCAAGACATGATACTGCTCTTAATGATGAATGATGTCGTAAAGAAAGTGCATACATAATGCTAAGCATATTTATGATTCCGTGATAATCGATTTTCTCGTCGTATTTATAAGATAATACGTGCAGACGTTTCTTCACCAATCATCAACAATGAATATTTTCATCCGAACAATTAGTCTGAAGCAAAAAAAAAAGAAAATTCAACTTCATCTTCTTCTTTCTTCCAATATGTTGAAATCGATGAAACAAGTCTTTGTTAAAGTTATGATTGTCAATGATTGAATATTTGACATAGATATATCACTGATTAGTTGATTTCAAAGTGATCCCGGCGATGGTTATGAGAGATTGTCTATTGAGAGAAAGATTGTTGTTCCATTATTAGTACTCCAATAATGCGCATCGGTCAGGTTTAATAGGTGACCTGCTTCATTTCTTATCAATACCAGTGAGTGGATGTCGTTGAAGATATCATCCATCTCCACGTTCACACCCGTTTATGAAATACAACATGGTCATTGTGAAGAAATCTGTCAGTCTCGAAATCGTTTCTGAAATGTCGATTTTTAACAAATCGATGTTGTTCATTTTTATTAGAAGAAAGTTTTTTGAAACTTGAATAAATCCAATGACTTCTTTCATTCAAACAATAAGCGTTCCATACATCTTTTGTTCAGAGAGACTTTTTCTCGTCTTCCGAAATAAATTCATTCGTTCTTTTTTGTCCGATCCAAATCGACAGAACTGGTGCAAAATACAAAAAATACTCTACATTTGCTGGTGAAAAAGTTTTTAAAAGATTTTGTTCGACAGATCCACTTATCTATTGCTTTTGAGTACACATGAGTCGATAGAACTGATGTGATCATTTTTCAAAATAATGACTCTATTTCCCTATGATCTCGGTAATGGTTGGGTGATAGTTGTTGAAAATTTTTCAGATTATTTTTTTCGACATCGAACTACTGCTAAACTTTCCAATTGTTTTGTCAACGTTTCTCTTTCCGAATTGAAGATTTACGAAAATCGATGTCAGTCTCTTTTAACCATCTTATTTATTTTCTCGATTCTTTATTTTAGTGGTCGATTGATTTGTGAGGAAAGTCATTGTATGAGTCATTCGATTTGTTTGTTTGATGAATTTGTTCGAGAAACTCAACATGAGTCTTTAAAACATCATGATCGAATTCTATTGATAACTGTTGACGATATGCGGCGAAATGTGCGATAGCAAAAGAACTATTGTCATCTTGCACATATAAATTTATCCGTAGCGGGTCAGATCTGAATTTGAATTAGAAAAGCAGTAGAAATTTCTCTTCTCTACAACGTAATTTTTTTATTTTGGAAACAGTAATTTTCGGATGTATTTCTAGGTCAAAATTCAAGAACAAATCCTTTCAACATCATAAGTATTCCATTGGGGTGTCAAATATCAGGTGATAATAAATTTCATGGATTTTGCAGCCGATTTGAGTGTATACAAGTCCAACAGTCAGAAATAGTGATGAATCTAATAGATTCAATGGAACGGCGCTATTTTAGCACACTCACGCCGGAGACTTTCATGAAAACCATTGCAGTAGTAGATGGTTTTCATCTGCAGTGGACGTATCTGAACCACAGATTACTCACTTCTGGCTTTTGAAAGATCACATTTCTGTACTGTATCTCAGATGCTTTCGAAACGAATTTCTCTCGCTAAAGTCTAGAACTTTATTTTAACTTGAAAAATACTATTCGATATATAAAAGTGAGCCCTATCGTTGGCATAAAATAAAATTAATTTTTTGAACCAATATTTTTTTTTGCAGCCTAGCCATCGTGCAGAACGAAATAATTTTCGTTGCATACTGTATTACTCAAACATGTTGACTACAATGAATGTACATTGCTTCATCGGCAACAATACTTCTGTATTGAAGACTGAATAGTGACGCACATTTTTCTATTTGTTTGCCAAAGTCATAGACACTGATGCAAGAATGAACAATAGAAATAAAAAATACGTTTGCCGTCAACATTTTTCTTTCTCTTTTTTTCTGACACATAAATCTGGCATCTATTTCATCAATACAAAATCAGACATGTCGATGACAACTCTACCTGCTGAAATTCTTTATCTTATTTTCGATCGGTTTAGTGCCAATGATATTCATTTTTCACTTCGTCTTGTTTGTAAACGACTTAATACGATTACAAATAATTATAATCGATTGAGAATCAAATTTACATATCGAACATCAAAGTTCGACATTCGACGATTGTGTCGTATTATCCAACCCGAAAATGTCATTTCATTGAACTTGCAAAATTCGTACTTCAATTCCAACACTGTCAAATATTTTCTTTCATCTATCTATCTTCATCAATTTAGTCGACTTCGTTCGTTGACACTCTTCGATGTCGAAGAATACGACTTTCAAACACTTATCAGTCCTCTTCTAATGATATCTATCCTCGAATCTGTAACATTAAAAATGAGTGAATACAAAAGATGGCTTAATAATTCCAGTGATCTTCTCATACACATAATTGCCTTACCAAATATTTCTCAACTCACATTAGATATTAGTGGTGAAATCATCAATACAATATCGTGGCCAAGTACGTGTAACTTGCAAAAATTAACACTTCGATATTGTAGTTATTATCAATTATGTACTATTCTTGATCATTCGCCAAATCTTCGAATATTAACCTTGAAACGTACGAATATGCTCATGGTACATAAGACTCTTCATCCAACAACATTTCAATCACTGACTTCGCTTACATTGAACAATATTTATATGCCAATTGATGAGCTCGAATATTTATTGTCTTTTCAACCAAATCTAGTTTCTCTCAAATTTACAATACCAACGAGTTATTCACTAGAATTTGTACAGCACCTATCACAATGGGAAAATTTTATCCGTCAAACGATACCACTGTTAAAAAGTTTTCACTTTTATATTGATATGTCATTTTTTGAATTAGAAGATGTTGAATCATTTCTGTTGCCATTTTGTACAACATTTTGGTTACAGGAGAAACGTTGGTTCATCACATGTCTCTATACAACAGGTTTTGGAAGCACAAGAATCTGCCTCTACTCATCAAAGAACTTGACTGTTACATTTTCCAATAATCTGAACTATGGTCTATTCTCCTATGCATTCAGTACGGCAAGTTATGATAACCAAATCGACAGTAGTATTATGTGGAGTGCTCGTTTCAATGTGCTTTGGCTGACGCAAGTAACCGGTACAAGTCGAGTATGTATGACTACTGTCCTAAAAAAAGGCGAGTGGCCATTTTTTGAATAACTTTTTATAAGAACAAGATAGAGAGCTGCGGTTTTCACCAATCAAAAGAACGTCATCCAGGCAATAATTTTGTATTAATCTCAAATCGTCACTAAGACAAATAGATGTCGCACATGACTCCGACTTTTCTAAATCCTTGCCATTGTTACCATTCACAGTGGCTATTTTTATTAATAAATAAGTGAGAAAGTCCTGAGTAGTCTCTATAGGACCACGCAAACCGCAGGTTTCTATCATGTATTGTGTAGATAGAAGGTTTGATTGATTAATTAGACTGAACATCACAATATATAATTCTATCTGCCAAAAAATATATATTTCTTATTCAATCAAAGAGTACACTATTGGATCAGACACGATTAGTTCGGACAAAGATGATATTTTACGAAAAATATGTTGTTATGCTAATAATGAATTTTAAAATTACGAATGCTTTTTAATTCTCTGTGTTTATGTTCAATCGATGCTTGTTCGCTGGAAGCATTTGACATTATATACATACATGTATACACATTTTTTCGATGTTTACGTTTCATTCTGTTTGTCGGTGGAAAATCCTGATGACTAAGTTTTCTCGCTTTGTATTTCAAATATATATATATATATATATACTTCGTTCTTTCTTTGCGAATATGAATGATTTATTCAAAATCTAAAAATCTTTTCAAATCGAACTTTTAGATTTTTCTGATTTAACCGTTTATTTCTCAGAAGTGATAATCTTCAATGCTGAAAGAAATAGAATTCAGCAACGATATGAAGCAATTAATGTTTAAAGTAATTAACTTTGTTGAACGCGAAAAGAACGGGACAATTATTACGTTGTTGAATGCAAATAGCCGTTTAACAGCTATGCTTGGTGTTACAGAAAGTTTAATTTCCAGATTACGAAGTGAAATAACAAGTTTTAAAGAAATGGAAGCGAAAAATGAAGAGAAGAAATAAGATGAAAGACAGTTGAGAAGCCGAACGGCATCTCAAACATCAGTATCAACAAAGCGATCACATAAAAAACGTACATATTCCATAATAATACCAACACCGATTTCACAAAAAAAAAAAGAATCATAGTGGAAGAAAATCAATTGAATTAACCGAATTTCAACAAGGTAACTTGCGGTATTGTGTATAATAAGTTGCTACATTTTTTCTCGCTTTAGATATCATTTTCATGCACTTTCATCTGAAAAAATATACCCTACAGCTGAAAAATATACTATTTCGTCTTTTGAATGAGGATTCAGCATTTCCGGTTCAAAGCAAACCATCATTATGTCAGTGGATGACAAAAATCGCTTTTCGATATAGACAAATGATGGAACGAATATTTATTTTCACGATAAAACTTGGATGAATAATGATGAAGAAAAGACAATGATCTGGTTTGACTCAAACACGGTACATGGTCGTTTAAAAAGTAACACCACTTGAGGTATCAGTTTCAAATCATAGCTCGATCAGAACAGATATCACTAGAACGCACTTTTTTCAGCACCTCGCTTATGTATTTCTGCTATGCTTGGTGAACGTGGATTTCATTTGCCAACAATTGATATATTTAAATGTGATAGTGAACATTCGATGGATGGAAATCACTTTGTTGATTGGATTTCGAGATTGTCATCATTTTTAAGACAAGAACATGGTAATAAGATAAATCGACAGGAGGACCACACTTTCCCATTAATTCTTATAAAAGTTCAAGGCCTCATGCTAAAATTTCCGTTATAATTGACAATGCCCCATGGCATAATCAGCTAACCGAAGAAACGAAGGCACGAAAACGCTCTTGGAACAAACAAAAAATCATTGATTGGCTCGATTCTAACGAAATAACGCATTCGAGTACAGCTACGAAAGCTGAGTTGTTACAGGACGAAATTTGGAGTGTACCCAGAAAAAAATGCGTTGTTGATGAAGCTGCGAAAGTCTACGATATTAATATTGTACGGTAAATCCATTATTCACTAAAGCCATATACTCTTTTTCAACAAATTTATGCTTTCAAGGTTACCTGCGAAATATTGTACGTTAAATCCTGTTGAATTGGCAAGGGCCGCAAAGCAATCATATGTAAGAGAACACAACACCAGCTTTCGATTGACAGACGTTCAACGATTGACCTCTGAATGGATAGATGATTTAGATGTCGCTACTGCCAAAAGCTACATCGCTCATGTACATCAGAACGAACTCGTTTTCAGACGAGAAGGCGCATATGCTGAACAAATCGAGGAATCATTAATTGATGATAATAATGACGATACGGATACTGCGAACAACATGAATAAAGAATCAGAAAACGAATCGGTCAACGAACCATGGAATCCAATGGATGATGCAACAGATGATACCTCGAGCAATGAGATACAATGACCCAACAAACGATGAAGTCGATGATGATATGAATAATTGATATATTTTTGTCACTCGTTTACAGATAAGTTGTCACTACCTGAACAATATATTTTTCGTAAAATATCATCTTTGTCCTAACTAATCGTCTCTGGTCCAATAGTGTACTCGTTGATTGAATAAGAAATAATATTTTTTTGGCAGATAGAATTATATATTGTGATGTTCAGTCTAATTAATCAATCAAACCTCCTATCTACACAATACATGATAGAAATCTGCGGTTTGCGTGGTCCTATAGCGACTACTCAGGGCTTTCTAACTTACTTATTAATAAAAATATCCACTGTGAATTGTAAAAATGGCATGGATTTAGAAAAGTTGGAGTAATGTACGACACCTATTTGTCTTAGTGACGATTTGAGATTAATAAAAAACTATTGCCCGGATGACGATCTTTTGATTGGTGAAAACCGCAACCCTTTATCTTGTTCTTATCAAAAGTTATTCAAGAAATGGCCACTCGTCTTATAATTACTTTTCGTAATAAGAGACTACTGTAACAAAATATTCGAGATACCTTTCGGCAGTCGATATACTTGCTACGACGAGAAAAGTTTCTGACTAAATGGCGCCTATTTCGACGATATTCTCTCTAGATATTGAGTTAGGCATTGTTTAAACTCGAACAATCCGTAATCAATTAAGAATTCGGTTCTGGCTAAAATAAAAGAAGATTCTCTCAGAAAAATGTAACAAGAATGAGAGAGACATACTAGTTCATTTCATTACTAATCTAGTGTGATTTTATCGTGATAAACAATTAAAAACTGGTAGAGTAGTGTTATTGCTATCCTCAATATAGATACTCATCATTCCACTATTATATCAATAGTTCGATATCGATAGAGAATATTATGATGTATACATGACACCATTTGAAAAGGATCCTCATCAAGTTTTTACAACAAACTTTCATCGTATTGGCAATGTGTCTTGACTATTCAAACTGACTGTTAAAAATTTCCAAAAACAGAAAGAAAGATAATAGAATTTTCGTTCAATAGTTGATGATTTAGGCTATTTTTCAAAAGTAAACCGTGAAAATCATTCGAAGAAAAACTATTTGTCATTATCAGTCGTCTTTGTTTGTTGTTTAGGATGAACTACTGGATCGTCATTTATTCCGTAACATGAATCGTTTTGAGATTCTAATTGATCGAGAACTCTCAATAAACGTATTGAAAAGTCTTTTGATGATGATCAACATATCTGGAATCCATGAAATTTGGTTAATGGAGGGACCTAGTTATCAAATTCGATTCGATACAATCGAAAGTCTACTACTGCAAGCGTCGAACATTCAAATACTTGGTATAATGTTTCATGATAATTTCAAATTGAGAATAGCCGATTTAGGCTCAGCAGTGTCTGGCCGAGTTGAACATCTCAAACTGCAAGTGACTAATGTGAAATCTATGAAATTAGCTTTCAAATACGTTCATCATATATCTACTATTATATTTCAACAGCGTGAATGGTTCAATGCTTTATTCATAGATATGATTGAATGGCTTGAGAGAAAAGAAAAAAAATTCGTCGTCGATAATAATTGTATGTCTGTTCAAGTTTGGCTCGATAAAGATACACACAATTTATCCGAAATTGAAAGCGGTCGCAAACGAAAAAGATCTACTTAATTCATCATCATAATAAATTGTAATTCAAACATGAGCGTTCGTCATACATTACATGGAAAATATCAATTGACTGAATAGAATTGCGAGCATCTAATAAATACACCAATGACTTGGAAAACTAAGCTTTGGTTTGTACATTCATGAGATAAAATTGAAAGATTTTCAATTGCTTTGCATATTGAGCTTGAAATTCATAAGTCAAATATTCAATGAAATCAATATGCTCACGTTCCAGTATTCTCCTATTGAACAAAACGTATCGCATTTTCGTTCAATCATGACTAACTCCATTATCCTCGGTTGTCATACATTGCAAGAGATTGGCTCATTTGTTTGACAGATTATTCAGTTAGTCCTATCACGTCTATAGTTTCAGAACCGAGTAACATATCAACACAGTTTACAGATTATTCTTTAATAATGATTGTGCGCTGAATCAATGAGGATTGAACATACGAATAGAAAGACTCTCCATTTTACTTACAATGAACAAAGTACAATGGAGAAAAGCCACTCACTTGAGTACTTCATGTCCACAACGATAACTTCAAAGGATAATATTCATTATAAATTGAACTTATAAATTTCAAGTTCAAGATGTCTGTCGCGCAAGCGAAAAATTTGAATTCTAACATATGAACGTGATAGTAGAACTTGAATATTTGATCGGATTCCTGCTTCCATCTTTCTACTATTGTCCCGAGTGTTCCAATCAGAAATGGTTCATATTTTTTTCACCTCAGTTTGAAATTTTTGTCTTCAATTGAATTAACTTCTCGAGTCCTACACTAATCGGATAATGTCATAAGTGTATATTTCCCACAAAAGGGTTATAAATACTGTTTTTCTGTTAATTATTGTGATAGAAGTGCAGCTTTGTAGAAATGATGGAATGCCTTGTCGGTTGTCTTTCTTACTTCAGGTGTGTACTGTAGACTGATTAGAAGAACCAATCAATATTCTACTGTTAATGGCTTCAGATTCGATAGAAGTTTGAAATGAAAGAAACCAGCAATGATTGCTGTTGTAGGAAGAAGAAAAAAACAAATGTTTACGTTGGTGAAGACATAGTGATACCATCACACTTTAACTTGTCACTTGTCAAAAATGTATCTGCAAGAGAATACTTTTGAAACCTGTCAAGAAAACAGACCAAAACTGATTAGGTCACAAGTGCATATCTTTCTGATTTTAAGATTTTTTTAACATCAATTTCGAATCAAATTTAACAATAATTGAATTGGTACTGACGATTTAGAGAAAATTTCACAATTAAGAAAAACTCGTTCTTGAAGCTGAAAAAAAATCGTACAACAGGGCGGTGATTAGAGACTCTGGTGGTAAGGAGAAAGCTATTTTAGACATATGATCACAGCCATCGTTCGCAAGTTTGACGAAAATGGATGATTTTCGTTATGCAGCAGAACCTATTTTTGAACAAGATATTGGTCATTAAACTGGATATGTGTGGGCCTTCCCTTCATCCTTACCAACACTCTTTTTCTATTCACTACGATATAGCTTTAAGATCATCAACTGATGTTTTAATATTAAGAATATTAATTGGTTTTTGCAACGATACATGATTATTTCGTTTTTACCATTTTTCTTCGATAAAGAATTTGATTAAAACTCAAAACAAGGTCACTATTGCAACATTCATGTGTTAAAGATAAAAGTGAATTGTTCTCTACTGATAAATAGAAAAAGAACAACATTCTATAATGTATTATTGCATTACTAGAACATGCTTCAAATACATAAAGAATATAACTAGTTAATAGAATTGTATAAAACAAAAAAGCTATGCTAAGAAAACACAACTTCAAATGTAACCCAAATTACTAAAAAATTTGATATCAGCAACATTTATCTAGACAAAACGTAATTTTACTGATACTTATTTGTCTCATGTTACCTAAGATTTTATCAAAATATTGCTCAACAAGCATTTCATAGAGCGAAGCTTAACTTATAATAAAAAAAAATAATAGTTACGTGCATAGTACACGAAATCAAATGCTGTCTCGGTTTGAATTGGGCCTTGAAATAGTTATAAAATGATTCTTTTATTTTAATCTTTGTTGTAATATGATATTATGTTCTCTCATTTCTTATGTTATCAATTTAATACAAATTGTTTTATAATTTTTTCTTATGAAAATGATATTCTTATTATTTGATCGAAAAAATACATCCAAAAAAAAGAACAAAGAAGATTCCCCAGTACATTTTATTCAACAGTTGAATATTACATTTTGTTTCTAACAAGGAGGATATTTTATTGCTAAATATTCCATTAAACTTTTTGTCTGCGTTATATTAGTATTATATAAAGTAGTAACATATGTACTGTTTAATTGTGTAAAATCTCGTACATATGCTGTTGTTGCTACGTTATAATAAAGATCACTTTTTGATATATCTGTTCCATTGAATAACCATGTTTTACCACCATCTAATGTTTCTACTCTAGTATAAGCCATAAACATTCCATTTCCTTTTAAAGATATACCATTTGTGAGAACTTGAGCAAGTAAATGTCCAGGAACCGAAAGAGCAACAACTTGATTTCCGAAAGGTAATGTACGTAAAATATCATATTGTGTAATTGTTTCACGAAGAATATCATCAATACGTACTGTACCTCCATTAATAATTCCAATTATTGTCCGATTTGTTGCTGTGAGTTGTAACATACTTTCACATATTGTAGCAGTTAAAAGTGTCGTATAACTTCTGACCGATCCTGATCTACCATCTAAATCAATACCAATTGGTAAACATGATACAATTTCATTTGGTTCATAACCTAATGCTTTAAATCCTTGAATACCTAAATTAAACCAATAATTTGCTACTAATGCTGTGTTTTCTTCTTCAGGTACTTCAGATGTTACTTGTGCTAAAGTACTATAAATACGAAAACGTTTAGTATCCAAATTATAAGCACAACGATGTATAAAAACAGTAAAAGCATTAGCATCTGTTTTATAAATTGGTACATATTTTGTTCCTCTTAAATAATAATAATTATCATGTTCATGTCCTCCAATAATAAGATCAATTTGTGGAATTTTAGAAGCAAGTTCAATATCTGTTATCATATCTAAATGAGTAATAGCAACAAGTACATCATATGTTGTATTTGAAAATGTTTTTAAAAATTCTTGAACATAATTAACTAATGATGTTTGATTAATTATTTGAACATAATTACCAGTTCCATCAATAGTTAAACCAATGAAAAGAATTCTTACAGTCTCAATAGTAAGTATTTTATGAGAAATACTTGATCCAAATCTTTGATTATTATCTCGATGAAATACATTTGTATTAATCCAAGTAAATGTTGATTCATTCATTCGAGTAAGTAAATCTTTTTCAGTTAAATCAAATTCATGATTTCCAAATATCATGTAATCAACTCCAAGAATATTCATTGTTGCAATCATTTGTTTACCATTTAAAATTGTTCCATTAACTGTTGATAAACCTAAAGCTGATGGAGAAAGAAAATCACCAGCAGCTATTGTATAAGTATGTACATTTTCTTCTTTTAATAATTTTCTCATATAAGCAACACGAGCTAAACCACCTTTTCGTCCTCTATCAAGTGGTAATAATTCATAAACATCATTCATTTGTAAAAAATTCCATTGAACATATCGACCATCACCAGGTAAACTAATACGATGACCAATAATTCCATTTTCAACTGCAAAACTATTTGAAGAATTTTCAGTATTACGCCATAGGCTAGCATAGACAATGGTTAACGTAGTAAGACAAATAATTACTATGCCCAAAATAAGATATATGAGACCATGTGGTAGACATAATGTTTTTAATCGATTATTCTTTCTAACTTCCATGAGTAAGATTCAGTCTAATAACAAAGATACAAGAAGCATATTGAAATGAATGATATAGATGTCATCTAGAGAAATTCGCAAAGAAGAAATAGCTGACTTTTTTTATTTGAAGTCAACTGAAAATCAAAAAAAAAAAAAATTTTATTACAGCTGTTTCTTCTTTGGAAATTTAACACATGATCTTACATAAATCGACACGTAAAGAAATGAATACCTTACCAATTATCCAAACTAATAGCATTATATATCGGTACATTAAGAACATAAGTGGATAACCTACGTAGATATGCACATCATGTAAGAACTCAAAGCGATTAGCGATAACATTATGCGAACGTAAAAAAAAAAAACTTAAGATAAAACTGCAAATATGATTCAGACACTTCTAAAAAAGAAATCTAATGAAACATTGCAAGAAAAAATAAATCGCAAAACTTTATAATCCTGAAGTTTTGTTTGATAAATCTTTTTTCACATTGAATTGAATTGATTTCATAGATTTTTGAAAACATCTTTGAATTCAATTCTTACATGTTACGAATTTACTCAGCTCGAACCTTCAGTCGAATACACACATACATTCAAACTCTATCCTCTTTTTGAAACACTGCAATCATGTCAATTTTTCATTGTACTCAAGCGTTTCTTTTCTTATCTAGCATATATTTATAAAATTTGTTGTTTTGTAAACAACAACAAAAATATGATCTACTTTAGAATCAAAATCGAATTGAAGAGTTCTTAGGTATAAGAATCAAAGTTGAATGGAAATCTCTTCTTAAGATAATTAATCACTGTTTTTATTTTTAAAAAAACACATGGAAAGTAGTTGATTGAATGGAATTTGAGAAAGCGAATATATTTTATATCAATGAATTTCCAAGAATCAAGTCTCATGGTTCTTTTTTTTTTTACTAAATAAAATGTTATAAGTGATGTTATTTCAATATCCTTGACTTTTACCATGTCAGTTTTTGTCGACGAACATTATCGTATTTTATTTCTTACCGTGTGCCTTGCACATCCAAAAGAAAAGAAAATGTTTGCTTGCTAAATACAGTACGTAAAAATGTCAAGAATAATGATAAATAACCCTAGAGAAATCAATAAAACACTTGCAAAAAGCACTAATAAGTAAGACAAGAGAATGAGATTTACTACATAGAGGCTAATTATTATATATAAGTTTATTAGAAGTGTTGATTTTTTTTACTACTGCACTTTGAAAAATATAATGCAATGAGATTTTTTAACTTTGAAAATGTACGAAAACAAATTTCTATATGATTCTATTCTGTAAACATAGGCGACGATTTAATACAATTTGAGAAACTATCTCCTTTATAATACCTTGTATAACCAGATCTCTGCCTAACAGAATAAAACATAGAAGATATATTTGACATTTTACTGTTCTTATGATCAGATCAGTCAAACTATTGAAAGATTAAATATTTTTAAGGGGATCCCCCCCATTTCTGACGAAAAATTTTCATTCTTTTTTTCGTTTGATAGATAGATTAAAATACTGTGTATCAATCGTAGACATTTTAAAACAAGCCCATAAGTGCAACTTTCTTTATGAATGTATTTTCTCGAAGTCGATTATCGAATAAAAAAATTTGAAGATTTCTATTCTTTTTTTTTATAATGCGTTACGGCGAGTTAGGCACATAAATTTTTCATGGATACTTAGATCCAATTACATATGTGCATTTTCTTTTCTTCTCTTGAATCTATTATACCTATGAAGTTTTTGATAGAAAGTGTTTTTTGTTAGTACCTTCATTATTGTGATTCTCTTGAGTTTCTGGAACAATATTTTTCAAGGAGAAAACAACGCACACTCATACTTAATTCTAATTGCATGAAGATTTGAAGTTTAGAGCAACTTTTATTCTGTTGTATCTATAAAAGAAACGAAACAGTACCTATACACACTAGATAAAAATGTGTCATATGTGCAATACTTTGCAAATCAATATACCATACTCGATCTCGACTAGAAGTGTAATACAAACCACTTCTATACAATTGCTCTTCATTCAACAGACAATACTATGATCAAGTACAGCAAGTATTAGAACTTGTTAGCATTTGTCCTTTTTAACATTATTTACAAATTTTCTGCTGTTTGTCAATAGATTACAAGGATTAATGTATGTTATTTTGTGCAGCGAAAGATGACGAAAGAAATGACCTTTTTTTGAGTGCATAAAAATATTTATCCAAAGAGGTAACACTGTTGTTTTAAATAAAATCAATAACAAGTTATATACGAATTTAAAGCGCGTCAAAAATGGAAATTATCAATTTTAAATAGTAAGAGTTATGGCAACTTTTCAATGTCGAATTCATGAAGTTTCCAGAATTTGACACCATATTGGCAAAGGATAATTTCATGCATAAGGCAGTTCAAATTTGATTTGGTTTTAAACCATAAATATCACAAGATAATCGATACTCGGTCACAAAATATTGAAATAATAATTAAAAATGAAGTTAAAATAATGTTATCAGTGATGAAACATAAACGTTATAACGAAGAAATTGTAAAAACACATTGCAGACGTTTTGACAAACATGGAAACAAAAATTGAGTTATCTGAAACTCTTTTCTGTTCGTATTCGTCTCATATATTTGTGCTGTAAAGAACGTTAATGATTCTCATACTAAATATTGATTATATTTCTCAAACCTTAAAAAATACAAGTCATTTTGTGATATTCATGATTTAAAAATGAGATCTAATTTGAACTGCCTCATGAAAGAAATTTTTCTTTGTTAATATGGCGTCAACTAGTAGAAACTTCATGAATGTGACATTGAAAAGTTGTCAAAACTCTTACTATTTAATGCTGATAAATTCCATTATTGACGCGCTTTAATTTGGTATGTAATTTGTTATTGATGTTACTTAAAACAACAATGTTAATCTCCTAGAAAAAACATTTTTACGTACCCTGTGAATAACATGTTTCGATAGAGCGATATACAAGCTACAACAAGGCCTACTTACATTTTCTTCCTTTCTCAAACAAGTGTCTCTCTTTTACATATATCTTGTGTATAAAGGCCATATTTTTCTAACTATCAACCTTGGAGCTTAGGAACGATAGAACATAGAAACATGAAGTTTAACGCGGGCGTAGGTGACTATGAATGGAATAGAATTATAAGAAAAACACTTCGAAATACTTCGATCAGAACGAAAGTTATTGCACAGATACTTGAAAATATCAACTGTACAAAAAGTTGCATTTCTCTCATATATATTTATCTGACGTCACAAAAAAAAAAAGGATAAGTAAATAGTTATCGACATAGTCTAGATGCGACAAGTATATATTTTCATGCTCAAGCCTACAACATATTTTTATTTAGTATGTGTGATTTATTGAGTCACAAAATTTGAATCAATCTTAAATAATCTATTCGAATTATCAATACAAAATGGATAAGATGATGGATGATCGAACTTTTCATGAATAAAACTTTGTCATATATCTTTATCTTATATATTTGTATAAAACAAGATACAAATATATTGTCGATAGATAAAATAATAAAATAACAATATTACTATACTTTTCATCAACAGTAACCTCAGAAAAGAAACATATTTCATGTCAATTATTATTAATTAAGCTCCGTCATTTACTCCTCATCGGCACCTGGAATTATCATTTTTAGAAATATTGAAAAAAATTCAGAATGTATGATATTAAAAAAAAAAACTTCTTACACATTGGGTGTAGAAAATTCCCCAAGCTACAATTTGAGAAAACAAATATATTGTCTCATTGCTCTATCTTCAATCCATGAGAAATATATGTATCTAGATAATGTGCTATATGATAAATATCGACGAAAGTTGTTGCTTTTAAATAAAAATGTGTTTGAAAATTTCATACGAATTATTTGCACAAGAGATATCGTAATACTTATTAATATGTACTTATAGATAAGTAAACAGATCGTCGTTATTAATACATACAAGCATTATTTATTGTTATATAAATGTTTGGCACCGTTGTTGGACAAGAAGAGGACTACACTCAAACCCTAACTGTTTTTTTTTATTTTATAATATTTGAAGTTGACGACTAATAAATCAATGATTACTTCGGGAAAAGCAGATGTTATATGTACATAGAAAATTGTTTCAGCAGCACACGTATTATAATAAAAAAAAAGAAAATATTTATAGGTATTGTTTAATTTAAAAAAAGAATAATTGTAGGATTTCGAAATCAACAAGCTACTCACAAAATATCCGACACATAGGTAATAAGCGTACATTTTCAATCTAGTATTCTATTTGCTTACTGAAGAGGCCAATACTCTATTTCAATAGTTGATTGATTAATGAGTTTTCTAGAACTGTGATGGGGAGTAAAGGATTAATTAATCGTACCAATAACTTTTGTTGTTGTTATTTTATTTTTTATTTATCGACAGTATATTTAACAAAGTAATTTTCTCTTATACAAATATATATAGCAGCAGGAGATATTCCGAGGATTTGTTCGCGACAAGAAGTCGTAACTTCAAGACAAAAATAGACGCACAGATCAATAAATTGAGCCGTCATGATCGCCCTATGTATCAGTGTGCATCTCTAGGTAGTGATACTGGTATTTCATCTTCAAGTGTATTACTAATTATACCATCAACAAGATATTTAAATAAATAACTGAATCATCGAATTTTATCTGCACTTGCTTTATTGAGTAATAAAAAATTTACATTTATTTAATATGATGTTTTTTGAAATAGTGTTCGAAAAAATTCCTAAATAATAAACACATTAATCAACTTGGAAATTTCTGTCTTGTATGGTCTCAAAAAAAGCATTATTTTTCTTGCTCTTCAGGCGACGTATATTTTGTCATTTTTTTCAAAAGCATTTTGTTGACATTATTACTGTGTTTTTTTCTTTTCCATTCTTTATCTGCAAGGAAAAAAAAAATCTTGCACGTCGAACAAAAAAATATCACATTTTTCAAAAATACAACAATCTTGCAACTTATCAATATAAATAAGACAACATAAGTTAATTTTTGCCAAGGTAAGAATTGAATTCATTACGTCTTTGACGAGTTTTAGCATATGATTGTTTTCAAATAATTTTTGAAAAATATTGTGATAATATCTATTTGTTTTTTTTTTTTCATTTTTGACTTGTAAATGAGAATAGCAGTAGAAAAAAAGAATTCAAAAATACATTTATTAAATTTTCATATAAGTAAAGATTTATCATAAATCATGATTCAAACGTAATAAGAAAAAATGATAACATTCATAGCTCTTCACTGGTGTGCAATACAGAATGACTAATAATTTTTTTTTTATTACAAACTTAGGAAAGATAGTTTACGAGAATAGAAAAAACTCTTATTTAATGAATCTATTACCTTTTTTTTCTCTATTGAACGATTTTTCAAAACCGATAGTTAATGCATTAGCTCAATCTTTCAAAATAGATCAACAATACTCTTACCAAGACATATTCGTAGAGGTAGTATTGTTTGTCAAAATTAAAGACACAAGCATTATCGTAGTAGCAGTCATATTAAATGACTTATATAATTTAGAAATAACTGCTCGATGAGAAAAAGTTCGAAAAATGATAATAATGAATAGTGAAAGTCAATACAGAACAGTCATAGCACTTGTTATAATCTCTATAAAAATGACTTCTAATAGCCATTATATAGTCAATAATACGAATGTTCAAAAAAATAAATTTTACTCGTTAATAAGTCCAAGTATCCCTTCTTCTCATATTCCATCCAGAACGTAGACAAAGTTTTGAAACCGAAAGTGACTTGAATATTTATGGTTAAAAGTTTCACATTTATTGTGCTAGCTTTTCTTTATTTTCTTTTTCACAGAAGTTCGTTCTCAGTTACAAAATCGGTATCAAATTTGCGAAGTAATCAAGAGTGACGGTAGCGTTGTTTTTGTACTTCTTTATCTTCCTTTGACAGTAAGATATAAATTGATGTAGAACTCATTTCAAGACTATTGTTGTACATGATTAAAACTGAACCGTTTATAAAGTAAAATTTGTTGTAATACTTGAACACCATATTTGCAATAAGTAATGATAAGCTTTCTAATTTGAAAATTACTAAAAGTGACTTCTAGTTTTATAAAAATATTTCACTACTGTGATATAATATCCATTATGGAAAACTTTTTCTAATGAACAGCTTTGGTGAACAACGGATATTGACGACGTCGGAAGTAAAGAACACATTAGTAAGCTTGGAAATACCGCCGTTACTTATGACTAAACGTAGAGCAATTAATCCGGCTGGGAGAATCGGAATATTCTACGATATATCCAGAGATTGTGTGCTAGAGGGATCAAACAGAACCAATAAAACCGAACCAGGACAGCTTTACGAATCAGTCGAATGTGAAATAATAGATGGTAACACAGATAAGTCTCGAAACATTCTCAAGTGGATCAACATTGATGAAGATTTACGATTAAATATCCTACTGAAAGCAGCACCACAAACCGGAATAGCTGCACTCATTGATCATAATCATCCAATCGACAAATACACTCGTTTTATGCGTATTTTTTATCTTGATCGAGAAGAACGACTTGTTGACGATTCAACAGAGGTGAGAAAAAATAAATCAATAATACATGACGTCAGTGATACTCACATTATTACTGCTGTAAGCTTCGGCATTGATGTTGTTATTATTCTGCAACTGCCATCCGCAGAGAATACTGCCGGAAAAATCGATGCTGCTCTTTGGAAAATTCGAACTCGATTGATGAACCCGAACGAGAATCCTGACTTTACTACAGATGATGCAGATGTTCTAAAAAAAATTATCGAAACCAAAGTGTATTCAAATGTAACTGAATTAACGAAAATGACTTCTCTTCTCGAAGTTTGTCAGTTTATAGATGGATCCAAACAAAAACGTGACACATACCGCCCCGTAGAATACACTCTACGACCCATGGAATGGTTATTTGCTGAAGCTAATAAATCATGTCCATCATACACTCCATTAGACGACAACGACAAGTTAGAACAACATTTAATAGAAATTTTAAACTATTACAAGAAAGTGAAATATTTGCTTGATAGTTGTACTACTAGAGTGCTGCCGAACAATGTCAAAGATTCACTGGTAGAAGCAGAAAAAGAATGGCACAACTTACAGGAAGTCTATGAAAATGAAATTAAACGATTAGCAACGCTAGTTTTGGATATTCACAGTGGACAGAAGAATGCTTCTGAGATTGATGAAGCACTTAAACACAAGGATCAAACAGCATTCAAAGAGAATATTCGAGAACTCTTGAAGAAAATACCAGTTATAGAAAAAGAAACTCAATTGACCAATAGTGCGCCACAAGAACAGCCCAAATACAGCGAACTTTTAGAACCTCAAACAAATCCGAATGATCATGGACAGACATTGACATATAAACCAACTATGGAGAACCAACCAAACAAAACGATTTGTGCTAATGATAATTCGTTCAACAAAAATCAATCAATAATATTGACTGAACAAGAAAACGAAAGAAACGGAAACAGCCAATATTCATCCTCACTGCCTACAAAAACACAAGCTTCTAATGCATCTAGAGCATCATTATCTGCGTCGTCAACAAATGAGATTATTAACATTCTTCTTGTTGGTGAAAGCGGTGTAGGAAAATCGACATTTATTAATGCATTTGTCAATTATCTTACATTCAAAACATTCAATGAAGCTGAACAGGGTAAACCTGTTGTACTTATACCTGTGTCATTTCTCATGACAGTTGGTAAAGATTTCGAAGAGCACACAGTAAAATTTGGTAATTCGGATAGTTATAACAATGAAGATTTTGATCATCCAGGTCAATCAGTAACACAACACTGTAAATCCTATATATTTCATCTTAATGATATTAATAAAAAAAAATTACGCATTATTGATACGCCCGGTTTTGGTGATACGCGTGGTTCTGATCAAGATGATGCCAATATGCAACATATTTTAGAATACATCAATGAATTGACACATTTGAATGCTATATGTTTCCTTCTTAAGCCAAATACATCACAAATTAATAGTTTTTTCGTAACATGTCTCACTCAGCTGTTGGATCTTCTCGGCTCAAATGCACGTCAAAACATTGTCTTTTGTTTTACTAATGCACGATCAACGTTTTATACTCCAGGCGATACAGCTCCACTACTCAAATCCATACTACAATCATTTTCACTCAATGACATTTCATTTAAAAAACAGAATACATTCTGCTTTGATAATGAATCATTACGATATTTGGTTGCTCGACAAAATGGTATTCAGTTCAATGATGAGCAACACAATGAATATGAAAATAGTTGGTCGAATTCCGTTACAGAATCAAATCGTCTTCTTGATTATGTATATAAAGAATTGAGTGTTCATGTGTTAAAAGGTGAAGCGCAATCAATCAAACAAACTCAATTCAAAATTAGTCATATGATCCGACCAATGTTAGAAGCAATGCGAAATATTCTTCGAAATTCAATTATATGGAACATGGACGCGCCGAAAAAATCGATCGAACTGAATCCGATTGTTCTTTATCGTTCAGCTGCCGTTTGTTATACATGCCAACGTGACGTTGTCCAATTAGGTAAATTCTGGGTTGTAAGGGATTTTCCACATGAAATCCGAAACACTTGTTACTCTTGTACATGTGCTTTCGATCAACATATTAGAATTGATTATAAACTTAACTACACATATGCGGACAGATGTTCAAATTATAGTCGAGATGAAATAAAGAAAAACTTAGATCTATTACTTCATGGAAGTGTTGAATTTGCTTATTTTCTTATGAATGTTGCTCGTTCGTCGAAAGATGATCCATTTTTGATTGGGATAGTATACATGATAGGTGAGGAAAATGATCTCTGTGGAAGTCAAATGCTGCATGACATGAATTCGGAATTAGTGGGAAAACTCACAGAACTCATGGTTAAATATCAACAATGTATAGAGACGATGAAGCCAAATCAAGAGATCAGCAAACTAAATGACATCTATACATGGATTCTAGCAATTCACGAAAATCCTATGGTTCACGTGCAAATGGCTGCTGTTGAAAAAAGTCGACAGATCATAATGAAACAATACGAATATGAATTTTTCAATGATTCGACAAACGCAAAAATTTCTTGAACTAATAAATGCAAAAAACCATTCATGAATGGCTTTATCATAAAATATCAAAAATCATTTTGTTTTTGTATTAGGTTTCAAATTTCTAAACATGAAATACTACAGATGATAAATCGTAAAAATAATGACATCTTAACATTATGATTGTCATAACTCGAGAAGAAAGTAATAAGCATACGAGCAATTATTGTTGTATCGAATGGCAAAAGTCTGGTCTCAAAACATTTTTACGATTCAGAAAGGTACTCTTATTTGAAGAGACTGATTTGAAATATTCATCTCATGATAAGTTGACTAGAAGAAAATTGATTTTTTCCATAAATAACAGAAACATTGACAATGTTGGAATTTTCCATGATATATTTTGTCGTTAATAATAAATTGCTATACTTCGTCGAACGATAATAGTCGTTTTCTGTATGAAAAAAAGAAATTTTTTTTAACCATTCTGCTAAAAGCCTTTTAATAGCATTACTGATTTATGCTTTTATTGTTTTTGTTCTTTCTTTATAAAGAAAATGAAGAAAAAAAAGTTTACATGTGAAGTAAATTTCGTCATATCAACAGAATAGACTTGTTCTCAAGATTACAAGACAAAGAAATAACGCATATCATTTTTTAGAAGGTAGGAAACAAGAAAACTAATAGATTTCGTAGTTAAAAACATGAATTTTTCAAAACGTTTCCAAATAAATATAGGAAAAAATTATCAGTTCTTTCTGTAACATTTTTCGAATAATAATAATAATTATAAATTTTCGATGCCAACATCTAAAATTTTTCTCCGTTAATAAAAAACATAATTTTCCAAAACAAATAATAGTATTCGACAGGTGAGTTTTGTATCTTGATGAACTTTCAATTATAAACGATAAGGGTCTATCTCTATCTATCAAATGATACTTGACGGTAAAGTTGGGCAATAAATTTCAGAGTAAACGAGTAACTTTAGTTGTAATCAAAGTTTTATTCATATAAAAGCGAAAAACTTCGAACTTTGAAAAATAGTATCTGATAATATAAAATTTGCTTTTCATCTAGAGTTTTGTTAGATAAAAAAATTCTGATGACTGATAAGACTCTTCAAGTTTGAGTATATGTGAAGAACTATTTTAAAACAATTAAATGATGAATAGCTATGTTATCTTAAAATGTTCAAAGTATTATAAATATGAAAACTGAACTGAGGACTTATTAATAATCATATGAAGCATCTATGAAATAGATGAAAGAATCGTAGAAATCCACAAAAAAATGAGATTTTTATAAAATTTTTCAAAAAACGTTTAGCTTTTTTCTTTCAATACATTTTGCAATAGAGAACGTAATACAAATAAATATTTCTGAATACGTATTTACATAAAATTCAGAAATCAAATTTAAATCGAGCTTTGCCCATTACATAGAGATTTCACCTTTTTGAAAGAGAATTTTTGACATTGTGAAATAACATTGTTTGTCATGCACAACCCCATTTAGGACAAAAATAACTAGTACTCTGTCGTAAAGAGCCTACGGCCAACATTATACCCATCATATTCTTTACTTCAATCTGTTTTCTCACTAAATTCAATTCATTTAGGTTCTATATTATTTTGGTGGACAACATCGATTGATCAGTTATATGGCACGAAAGCAAATCATTGGAGATAATAACGAGTCCGAATTAGTTCTTATAAACCGAACGGCAATATATCCAGACGGATGTATTGGTTCGTTATATGATGGATACAGAGATATTTTATATGAGAAATTACCTTGGAATAATGAAGATAAACTGATTAAAGTTGTCAAAAAACCACAATGCATATTGAAGAAAGGCAAGAAAGATCAAAATGAGACTTTTCTTCAGGTAGTTAATATACCTAAAGAATTACGATTGAGTATATTATTACGCTTATCAGACATGAATGGAATTGCTTCAATTATTAACTATCCTTATCCAGTAAACGAGTATACCCGATTTTTGCTCTATTCCTATATATATGAAGAAGAACAAGCCTCCGAAAAACCAAACAAAACACAAAAAATGATTAAATCAGCCCCGATTTCGGGTGCGGCTACTCACATAATCACTGGTATTAGTTATGGGATTGATGTTGTCGTAGTTTTGCAGCTACCATTTGAAAATTCCGTTGTAACAGAAATTGATGATGTGCTTCAAAGAATTTGTATTCATTTAAATCATGAACAAAATGCTTTGGTACTCAATTTAGATGATGAAAATGCTCTGGAACAAATAATGGGCACAATGATTTATTCAAATATATCTTCTTTGACAGAATTATCTACAGTGCGCGAAGTTTATTTATATATTGATGACAATAAAAACGACAGTATACATTGTCCAATAATGTATACTCTTCGACCTATTAAATGGATGTTTCCTAATAATAATCACCTTGGTGCTAAATTTAATTCTATGTCTTCAGCATTGAATATAGAAGTCGAGAAATACTTAACATATTTATCCACTAGACTTAAAAATCTGAAATACTCTCTTGATTCCTCTCACAATGGATTACTGTATAAATATCTTGAAGGTCAGATACGTGGAAAACAACGTCAATGGTTATTATTATCAGAAATATACGAACACATCATTGGTCGATTACAGAAATGGATTATCGATGTGCGAAAAAATCGACCTAGCGTTTCAAAGAAAGATCAATTATTTAATCATGAAGATCATGCAAAATTTGAACAATCTGCTCAGACCTTGCAAGAATATTCAGATGGCTTCCAAAAAAAAGAACGATTGATTAATGATCTCAAAAACCAGTATTTTGAATATTGCAATGTAGCAGAACTTAATTTGCATAAGCATAATTATAAAAAGACATTGGAATGTAAGTTGAAGACGAAAGATCGAAACCATAAAATTCTTTGTACTAATGATAAATTAAACAAGGAGAAAGGACAAAAGATCGATCTTCAACGTAATCAACTAGCTAAAGAACACGAGAAAAATGACAACTTATGTATAACGTATGCTGATTTTTCGTATTCTTCGGTTGAACTTCAAGACATAGAAATATTAACGATAAGTCAAACGAATAATAATAAAAAAGAAAACCATTCGAAGAAACTATCTTCTACAGCGACACAAAACAAAACTACTACTTTACAACGACTATCATCTTCACCAATAACCAATGATAATATCAATATTCTTCTTCTTGGTGAAACTGGAGTTGGTAAATCGACTTTTATTAATGCATTTGTCAATTATCTCAAATTCAAAACATTTGAACAAGCTCAATCAAATACACCTGTTGTACTCATACCCGTCTCATTTCTCATGACAGTTGGTGATAATTTTGAGGAGCGTTTAGTCAAATTTGGAGATATTGATAGTTCAAACAATGAAGATTTTGATCATCCCGGTGAATCAGTTACACAACATTGTCGAACTTATGAGTTTCATCTTGGTGATAATGATGAAAAAAAATTGTGTATTATTGATACACCTGGTTTTGGTGATACACGTGGTCTAGATCAAGATGATGTCAATATGCAAGATATTTTAGAATATATTAATAATCTCACACATTTAAACGCTGTATGTTTTCTTCTCAAACCAAATACATCCGAACTTCATACATTTTTTCGTATATGTTTTATGCAACTACTAGATCTTCTTGGCCCAAATGCTCATCAAAATATTATCTTTTGTTTTACTAATGCTCGATCAACTTTTTATACTCCAGGAGATACAGCACCTCTACTTAAAATTCTGCTTAAATCATTTTCAATGAATGATATTCCATTTAAAAAAGATAATACATTCTGTTTTGATAATGAATCATTCCGTTATTTAGTTGCTTTACAAAATGAAATTGAATTCAATGATGACGAGAAACATGATTATAAGGAAAGTTGGTCAACTTCAGTCAAAGAATCAAATCGTCTTATTGATTATATTCATGAAAATCTTATTGCATATCGTTCAAATAATGAATGGAAAACGATTAAACGTGCTCATATTGAAATTTCTCATATGATTCGTCCAATGTTAGAAACAATCCATAATATTCTTCGAAATATTATTTTGTGTAAGATGAATATTAGAAACAAATCTATAACAATGTTTCCAAAAGCTATTCATCGTTCAGCTAGTATTTGTCTCTCGTGTAAACCTTATCCACGTTACATTGGTAATTTCTGGATTTCTCGTGATATTCCACATGAATTTCTAAAGAAATGTCTTGTTTGTCCGTGTAATATTGAACAACATATTACAATACATTATGTACTCAACTATGAATGTTCAAAAGAATCTGTGAGTAATCAACGAAAAGAAATGACTGATATGGTTAATCAACTTTGTATTGCTGGTGCTGAATTTGATTATTTCCTGGTTCATATTGCTCATGCATCAAAAGATTATCTGTTTTTGTCTGGTTTCATGCGAATGATAGATGAAGAAACTAAACTTTGTCAAAGTCAAAAACCTAATCATTTGAATTTACAATTAATTAAAGAATTCACACAACTTAAGTGTCAATATGAAAGCCGAATTGAAGAATTGAAGTCAAATCAACGATTGACTGATCTGTCATTTATCGATAAACGGATTACAGTCATCCGTGAATATCCTCTAATAAAAACGCAACTGGACATTATGAAACAAACACAAAATATGATGACAGAACCGTATGAAGTATCATAAGACTAAATACTGCATCATTTTATTCATCAACAAATTATAATTCTTCTATCTAGTAAGATCATTCACAACTTTATTTCAAAAAATTGTATGACGAACCTGCTAAAAATTTTTTTTTTTGTGTAGATGCTTTTAATATGTTTTTTACTATCAATTACTCATTATCTGAAGAAAAATTTCACATTCTACCGATTGCTGCGAAATGTTTTGAATATATAATAAAGATATATGCCGTTCTTTATTTTCTAAAGCTCCTATTTTTTTAAAAGTCGTTTCTATAATGTCCTCTCTTTTCCACATTCCTATATTTTTCAAAAAAACAAAACAAAGATTCTCATGAAAAGAATCATACATCTTAGAAAAAATATACTTTGTGCATTAATGTAAATAGTATTATTAGCGTCTGCATCACAATAGGCAGATGATACATATATATTTCCTTGTAGGTCACAGAAGATTTACTTACCACACAAGACTCTATTGAAGGATTACTATGAAATGCAACTGAATTTCACATTCACTATGATATATTATGATTAATATCTTTCATCATCGACAGAGAATACATCCTATTCCGCAATGTTGCACATTGCGGGAACCAGTTCCGCCCCGGAATCAGTTCCTTCAATTCCAGAAATCCTATAATGACCCTTTCATCTAATTTCGGAATCCCAACAACCTAATTCCTACCAATTCCGGAATTCCTAGAACCTAATTCCTATCGATTCCGGAATTCCCTGACGAAATCATACCATCTCCCCTCACCCTCACTTGTTGTCTTGTGTTGCCAAGTTATGGCCTTCCAAACACGACC